TTGCATAACTTTGTATTGTATTAAAATAGATTCAACTCGGTTGGAAATGCTAATGAAATTGAGTTAAAAAATGCAATCATTACTTGTATGCAAGCACCATAATGTTGTGCACCAGATATGAGTTCCATGTTGAATATTTCATTTTGAATTGCTGTATATTTGATTTATTTCCGATTGAGTTACATAGCCTATTATAAGAATCGGGCAATTTTTTTGTCTTCCTTCCCTCTGAAGGGAGCTTCCTGAAATTATATAGGATGCTTAAGAAGAAGAATACTTGTGAAACATGTAACAGCAAGAGCATGTCTTGACAACGTGAGATGTCAAGAGAGGTATTACTTCATAGTGATACTAGACCTATCGATGATAAGAGGCATGGTAGTTCATACCCTTCGGATGTTATTCCTAGTAAATAAACCAAATTCAGATACTATAGCATTTTAAAATATCTTGATGGTATTATTTTGATGTAGTTGAGTTTTTCATTTTTTTCATTGCAGGCTGGGGAGATTAGAACTCAACTTTTGCTCTGTTTCTCTCCAAGACTCTCATCTGGCTCTAGTTTGTTATCTCTAATGGTACCACTGGTAAGAGAGTAAACCATATCCTTTACCTCTCTTAAATTCAAGTAGTGCAAATTTCACCAAATACTTGACCCCTACACCCCAAACCAAAAGAAGAATTGTACTATGTGACAAAGTATATATGGATTATGATCTTTTTTTGGGGTAAAAAAATTCTCTATGTTGATTTTTGATAGTTAAAGTCGAAAATGCACAATAATCCTTCACAGATGTTTCCCTCGGTAGCGTTTTATTTGTTTCACAATAATCTCTTTCTATATCATGTAGATATATTATTGTACCATTCTAGAACATTACTAGAAAATGAGCTTGTGAAAATGGATAAGTTTTGGGCAAGCCAAACTTACCTGTAGCTACCTCAGTAAGTGGATATGTTTATATGCTGTACATAGCTTTGTATAATATCGAAAATGATGTAACTACATGATAGCTACTACGCATCCTTCCTCTCCATTATCAGAATAAAACAGATTATGCTTCAGGCACTAAAGTGAAGAGCTATAGTTCTAAATGTCAGAGAAAAGCCTATGCACTACAGTCTATTCCTAATTAAGGCTCCAACAGCTATTCATAAAAGCCAATTTCTCTCAAGGCTTCCATTTTGGAAACCTGATATAGAATAAGCAATATTAAGGATAGAGATGAAAAGCATAACTATAATTTCAACTTTTTCCTGTCTTCAAATCCAATAAAACTTGAAAAGCCTTGGCTAATGCGAGCAGAATGATCAACAATTCATTGGGAAGGAAAAAGACAAACCAGACACACCTTTTCTTAGAATAGAAATTCAGATTTCATAAAGACCAAAAGAAACCAAAAAGAGAGAGAGAGAGAGAGAACACCCCATAGAACAGCAGATAAAATTACAAGATAGCTCACTAAAATTCATTAACAAAGTAACCGCTTACAGGAACTAGCCAAGGCCAATGCCACAGCAAGGGAGACGCCGCTGTCTTCCAGTTACGAGATTGGGAGGATGAGAGCTAGTGAGAGCCGGCAATGATTTTTAGGAAAATTTTGAGGAAAGAGATTGGGAGAACAATTTGGGGGTAGAGGGCCGAGAGAGAGAGAGAGTGAGAGAAAGAGATGGGTAAATGAAAAATAAAGTGTTAGATTAGAATTTGGGGGTAGATTGGTAGAGGACCGAGAGGGAGACTGCGAGAGGAGACTGAGGGAGAAAGATGGGTAAATAAAAAATGTATCTTGCAAAATTTGGGATTTGGGACAATTTTGCCGCTTCTTTTAGGCGCCAATTTTAGAGGAATTTTTTTTTATTTTTTCATCAAACAATTGTTTTTCCTTCTAATAGTTGTTGAGGCACATCTCTAAAATGCCTCTATAAATATTTTCTTTATATTCTTTTGTTTTCAGTTTTTCTTATAAGCTTTGTCCCTTATACATTGTCTTTTTTTATTTAATTAATAAGTGCTAATTTGGCACAAACTACCAAATGCCTTAATAAGTGTTTATTTGAGGCATTTATTAAATAGTGCCCTAACAAGTATGCCATAATAGGGAAATTTTCTTGTAGTGTATATTTAATTCATATGAAGTATCTTTTGGTAAGTGCTTTAGAATGAGTAGAATCTTGGTGAAGAATCTCCACTTGCGATACAAAATTGAGTGTGAAGCTAGTTGATATCCTGATTCTATCTAAACTAAAGACAGAAAAACAAAGGAAAGACATTCGAAATGAAGCAAATATGTCCTGCATGAGTCTAAATCATTCTGTCAATGCACAAAATCGTGTCATGAAGACAATCTTTGGCAGATGTCACAGCACAAATTAGTCATGTATGTTGTACTACTTCTTTGAACTACTGGAATTTGCAATGCGTTCCATTGGTAGCAGAGTACAAGCAAGAAAATGAAAAACTAGATTAAAAAAATTCCAAACGTATTTAAGACTCAGGGCTTGCTTTTGCCTGCCTAAAGTCTCAAAAATCTTGAAAATGATTACTGTTTCATGTTTTTTGGTAATCAATTTGTGGTTTTCAAACAATGAATTACAAGTTTGGTCACTACAATTTGTTGTATGTGATTTGTCACTTGTAAATAATGGCTTTGACATTCCTGTGTATCCTAACCAAAGTATTGTGTCTACATAATTATGATATTGACAAATGTGCTTAATGAACACTAGTTGCTAACTCACTTTAGTTAAAAGATGATAGTTTTGAATATGTTTCTGCTTCTTGTAGTAGCACTTTCTCTCCCCCTGCCACTGTTGGAGTCTTAAAAGTAATTATTCTGGCAATAAGTCCACGGGTTACTATTAACATGGACTCGGATAAAGTTTGACTTTTTGGCTCTAGGTGTAGCTCTTATAGCTTCCAGCTATTAGGATATCCAATTTGTCTCTTCAATTAGCCAACTTGCAATCATGTGTACGGTGCTTGGACTTGCTTTTTATCTTGTTGCTGTATATGCTGATTTCACTATTCTTGTAGGCAGTAGTTGGATTCATGTCTCAAGTAATGGACAAATTAGTATCCTTCAAAAGTGCTTGGTAGGTGATAAGGCTGCTTTTTCTTGTTTATTAGACCTTATGTATAGTTACATATTTTTAGATATATGAAATCCTATGACATTCAAAGCTTCAAAGACTACTTTTGGTCTAAAACACAATGAAGTTTGCAAAGTTGTTTCTCATAAATGTGGAATCGTTTGTTGCTGTCCTTTGACATCTTAATATTAAAATAAAGAAGTGGAACAATTCTGCCCATATAATCCTTGGCTCTTAATGAATGTTATTAAACTTCCATCCTCTAGTAGACTCTGTTTCCGAACTACCCATATAATGTCTCTTTTTCTACTCTTTGTATAGCCACTATCTAGATGAGACTTAAAACAAATGATTCACTTTATTTTTTGGTGACTCCTTAACTAATTTTCCTTGTTTTAATTTTTCTATCATCTACTAATAACTTTACTATTTTATTGCAGATATATTGCTCATTTTAGAGGTTTGGAAGATTAGCAGTACGGCTTACGTGTCAACTCAAAAACTATGGTTATAGTGCTATCTTAAGTTTAGAAAATGTTTCGGTAGCACGGAAAATGTTTTGGGACTTGGAATTGTTTTTTAGTGTAGCCTTGACTTATATGGCAAAATTTGCTCTATTGAAACTTATCAAACTATTTGTAGTGTGATGTTGCACTTATTTATGACATTTGAATATTTAATATGTTATTATGGCATTTCCTATTGTAACGGGTGTCTACGTTTGTTATTTATTAAACATTGCTGATGTTTTCATTTTTTAGATATTATTGTAGTAGGAAAATCATCAAACTACACATTGCAAGGTGTTGTAAATGAGTAGCATTTCTCAAGCAGGCTGTCTTTATTGACAATTGTTGTTGTCACTGAATCAAAACTATTCATTGATAAGAAGTTGTTGTCACAGTTGATAAGGGGTTTATTGACAACAAAGTTGTCACTAATTAATATATACGCTGACTATGTTACTTCATGCATCATTGACAAGAAAGCATGTCGTCACTAAATTTGTAGCTTTTATTGACAACATATCTTGTCATAAAAAAGTTTTTATTCACTGACGACTTTAAAATCGTCACTGTATACTTTTACCGACGGAGATTCAGTGACGACTCTGTGACAACCGAAATGTTGTCAATAAAAGTCATCAGTGACGACTTTTTGCTTTTTTGTGACGAAAAGTAGTTGTCATTGAAGACCAAAATTCTTGTAGTGGTAGATTTTGTCTCTATTTCTAATAGTACTAGAGTAATAATGAATCATGTTCTTAGGGACATGATGGCATTTTTTGGTTCAGTATTGGTAATGGTAGCAGTGAGTTGCATTAGTCAAGAATTAGCAAGTAATGAATTTTGAGATGAGTTGGAATTGCTGGACTATATTTGATTTAGTGAGTATGCCACGTACAAAAAGTTAAAAATTAAAACCTTATTTTATTTTGTCTTATTCTCTAGAAAAAGAGTATTTTAGGATATTTGTGAAAAAATATAATCTATTGGTTTATATTGTTACATAACCTTAAAAGCAAGGGAGGTAGGTGTAATTTTTAAAACTGATGAGAGCTCTCTGTAATTGTTGGAAACCTCAAGGGAGGTTTCTGAAATTATCCCAAAAGTTTAACACATTTTCTTGGGAACAGTAGTAATTCAATGAGATTCCTGTCAACCATTGATTTTGAATTCTCGTAACAAATTCAAGGTGCTGGCTAATTTTGTAACTCCAACAAAATATTCAAGAAACTTTGAACTCTAAATGAAACACAATTATATGCATTTCTACTGTTTTATAAGTACGTTATATCCTATGCTATAAATCCACATCCTACACCCTTGATGGGAGCAGAAGAGATGGTAGTATTCCCAATACACTTAAGGCGTCGAGCTAGCTCTGCAAAATCCGTATAGTTCAATTTCATGGATAACCCAAAGTTGCAAAAACTTCCTGTCATCAACTTCGGTCAGGAGAATTTGCAGTATGGCACAAAAAGCTGGTCCTTGGCACGCAACGAAGTCCGCCACGCTCTTGAAGAATGCGGTTGCTTTCTTGCTGTGTATGATGCAGTTTCTTTCAACTTGAGGGATTCAGTATTTTCTGCGCTAGAAAAACTGTTCGATCTTCCCGTGGAAACAAGAAAGAAGAACACTTCTGATAGGCTTTTCTTTGGTTATCTTAGCGACCACCGTGACTCAGCTATTCGTGAGAGCGTGGAAATCGAAAATGCAACCGACATAGAAGAAGTCAAGAAATTCTCTAAGCTCAAGTGGCCCCAAGGAAATGATGACAATTTCAGGTACAACTTGATTTATATATCCTCATCTTATCAATTCTTACTAGTAAATCCAACAATTAATTAGCGCGCAATGTATTGAAATGATCCCAAGCGAATTGCACCTTCAATTTGTTTCCTTTTATGAATAATTGTTAGTGGGATCATCCATGAATATGCAAATCTGGTAGCGAAGTTGGAACAGGTGGTGACCCGAATGGTTTTCGAAAGCTATGGGGTAGAGAAGCTGAAGTGTGATTCTCACATAGATTCAATCACGTACTTGCTTCTGCTCAACAGCTACGAGGCGCCTGGAGTAGACGATGAATATCTTTTAACTTGAGGATATTTTGTAATACAACAACTGCAGTGTGAATTGTAGCTCTTCTTTTTTTTTTCTGACATTTTCTCACGGAATTTTCGGCAAATAAATCTAACTCCCCAGAGTAACTCCAAAAGCCGGCAACTTTTGGAGTCCTGTGAGGGACTTATAAACCTAAACCCCAACCCCCCCCAATACCGATGTGGGATAGAAAACCCCACAGAGTGCCCCGCTACTAAGAGATAAAGACCCCCTAAGCCCCTGAGAATGAGTTTTCTTTCTGACATTTTCTTACGAAAGTAAGAATTTTCGGCAAATAAATCTAACTCCCCACAGTAACTCCAAAAGCCGGCAACTTTTGGAGTCCTGTGAGGGACTTATAAACCTAAACCCCAACCCCCCAATACCGATGTGGGATAGAAAACCCCACAGGGGTGAATTGTAGCTCTACTGCAGTGTACTTGATGATGACAGCAATGAAAGTTACAGATTTACCAAAAAATAATAATAATAATTTTTAAAGTCACGTTCTTTAAAATTTTTGCTGCATTTCCTTTTGTTTCTGTAGAAACTGGAACATGGAGAAAATTCTTAAATTGTGATGAAAAAAAAAAGTTATTCTACAAAGGGGGTAATTTTTGAAGTTGGTTCCAGACTTGTGATCTTCGCATTTGTGAAATGCGAGTTCAGATAACTCGCATTTCACAAATGTGAGGTAAGTGTTTCCAGAAAAAAAGAAAAAGAAGATCGCATTCTCCAAATGCAAGCTTCTTAAGCTCGCATTCTGCAAATGCAAGCTTCTTAAGCTCGCATTCTGCAAATGCGAGCTTAAGAAGCTCGCATTAGGAGAATGCGAGATTATGTACCTCGCATTTAAGAAATGCGAGGTATTCGATCTGAAAACAATCAGATAAGCAAATTGGCTACAATATGGACTCGAAAGGGGGGTGCTTGGAAACGTTAAATAAAACAAGATAAGCATGTATTTAATAAACTTATATTCAATTTAATTAGGAATTCTTGATTAACATTTTGGCATGATGCGTAATAATGTATAGGGGGTTAGAGGGAATATTAACTTAAAATATTAACTAAAAATATGTATACAAGACAAGCATGTATCACATTTGCTTGTACTACTAAAATATTAACTAAAATATTTGTACCATAGTCTTGTGCTACTAATTCTAATTTATTTTTCCAGTTGCAGAGAATGGACACTCGTTTGGCACGTATAGATGATCATTTAGGCATTACTCCACCTCAGGGTGGAGCTGCAGATGAAGATGACGATTGAAGCTGCACCATTAGGATCACTATATTATTTGTACATGGATTTGCTTGCATTTTGTTTTTAATCTGTGAAATGTTGGATGTTTAACTTGATTTTACTTTTTCTGTTTTTTAATTTACTAAAGACTTGTGCTTTTGCAGTGGTTTGTGATTATTGGCTAACAAGTTGCTTGGATTAAATGTTGTCTATTTTGGGTTTTCTGGTAGGGAGTTTAGTCCACTTTTTAATGGGAGATTCTGTCATAATTTTTCCAAAAAAAATTTATATATATTTAATCATAATAAATTACAATAAACAAATAAAATGTTTTTCAAATATCCTAGTGAAATAAATATATGTGGTTTGGGAATATTTTTTCTCATTTAATTTGAAAATGATTATTATGTGATTATAATTTTTACATTTATAGGAAAGTATATCTTTTAATCTATAAGATAAATAATCACATAATAATCATTTGATTTTTTTTTAAAACAATCTCTTTATTAATCAACTGCAATAAGGGAAAAAGAAACAAAAAGCAAACTGCTACCTAACAAGCTAACGAAACTCTACTCCTACGAAGGCTCGGAACGCCCAACCGATCCAGAGTAATATCACCTCTCACCAGGCGAGGCAAGTCAGAGAACGAACCATACGTTGAATTAATCCCAAAGTCCACCCCCACATTGGCCAATCTATCCGCAGGCCTATTCGCTTCTCGAAAACAATGGGAAATCTCCCTAATATACCGTCTAGCTTCCATCAGCTCTTGTAAACCACTTTGCAACTGCCATGGACACCTCACTGTACCCCTAACAATCTGAACTAGCACCAAAGAATCTGATTCGATGTGCAACTCACGATACCCCCGATCCAAGGCCAACCTAATCCCATGAAGAAGCGCCTTCAATTCCGCCTGCAGACTCGTCAGCTCCCCAAAAAAACATGAGAACCCTAACAGAAACCTTCCCGCACAGTCGCGAATGACGCCTCCTCCTCCACTCTTGCCAGGATTACCCCTAGAGCATCCGTCAGAGTTTAGCTTCACCACCGACTGCACCAGACACTGCCATCGAACAATTTGCACATGGTAACGCCGAGCCAAACCAGCTACAAACTCAAAAAAACTCGGCCACCCTCGACAAGAGGTTACAGAATTTTTAAACCTAATCCGAAACAGGTGTCGCAGATCACAAAAAATTCTATCACAGACTATAGTAACAGGCAAAAGCTGACCTTCGCATTTTCCACAAATTCCAACATATCAAAGAAGGCAACAAACGAAAGAGAACCTGAAGAAACGGGTTTCGAGTAGGCTTCAACCACCGGCTAATCACCTTATGTCGTATCGTCGAGGAAACACCAAACCCTCCCACCACCACTTCAAAGTTAGCCCAGATTCGCCGTGCAACCTCCCCAGTACAGAAAATATGGTCCAGAGACTCCTGGCATGGGAAGGAGCAACAAAAACACCGAGACGGCCCGACAACCCCAAACTTGTGCAAAATATCCATCACTGGCAGTCTGCCTCCCAGCAGACGCAGCATAAAAAATGAAACGTTACACGGCAAATCCTGACTCCAGATCGAGGAATACAGACAAGACCTGTTACCAACCCCTCGAGCAATTTGGTAGGCCGACGATAGGGAAAAATTCCCTGAGGTACTGGGAGACCAGACCATTCTGTCCGAGTGCGCCTCAGCAGGAGGCACAACACTCAAGATCTGCCCCGCCCACCAGCTGGGCAAGACAGAGCGTAGCCTCTGCTCATTCCACCGACCGTGCTCCACGAATTCGGAAACTGCATATTCCTGGAAAGTATCCACCTGGCGGCATAACGGACCTTGTCCTAACCAATCATCATGCCAAAAGCTTGTCGAACCGTTGGACAAGATCCAGCGAATATGTTTCTCAGCAACCCCCTGAATAGATACCAATCTCTTCCAAGTCCAAGAACTCCCCGGCAAGACTTCAGTAAAACAAGGGTGAGAGTTCGGGCAATATTTATAATGCAAAAACTCAGCCCATAAGGACTTTTGCAACCTAAACTGCCACCACAGTTTCATTGAGAAAGCCTCGAAAACATGCCTCAACGACCTCAACCCAGCACCTCCCCTGTCATATGGCTGACACAACTGTTCCCATTTGATCCAGTGGAAACGCAGCCCCCTCTCAGAGGAGCCCCAGAGGAAATTAGCAAACGTCTTCTCCAGCATCCCAAAAATAGCTTTGGGAGGAGTCGATGCCGCAAGAATATGAAGAGGCATAGAAGATAGCACACTCTTGATCAGTACCAGCCTACCACCATGCGACAATAACCTCCCCTTCCACGATAGCACCGTGCCCAGTATGGAATCACAAATTGCCGAAAAATAAACTTTCTTCCTCCGCCCGACATATAAGGGACAACCCAAGTATTTAACTGGAAACTCCCTCGAGGAAAACCCCGTGAGTTCTCCAAGCATACGTTTCCTCGCCCTGGGAAAGTTGCTATGGGTCAAAAAACAACTCTTTTGATGGTTCACCTGCTGACCTGATACCAAAGAGTAATCTTCCAGAGCTTTCAACACCAAACGAACTGACCTCTTCAGCCCGCTAGAAAAGATAACGACATCATCGGCATAAGCCAGATGCGTAACCTTCGGGCATCCTTGGGATACACTAAACGGTGAGAAGAGCGGGGAGGAAAGCAACGAATTTAACAGGCGAGAAAGAACCTCGGCATCGATCACAAAAAGAGCTGGAGAAATAGGGTCCCCCTGCCGTAGCCCACGACTAGATTTAAAGAAACCTTGTGGGACACCATTAATCAAAACCGAAAACCAGACATTCGAAATCAGCCTCCAAATCATATCAATCCATCTCTCTCCAAACCCAAACTTACGCAAAACCTGTAACAAAAATGGCCAAGAGACTCTGTCGTAGGCCTTGGCCATATCCAACTTCAACACTACATTGCCCCCTCGATTAGATTTCCGAATATCAGATATCAACTCCTGGGCCAACAAAATATTCTAAAAAATCTGCCTTCCCTGAACAAACCCACTTTGTTGCGGAGAGATAATACTCGGCAGCACCTTTGACAAACGGTTGGCCAACAGTTTCGAAATGACTTTATTGACAAAGTTACAAAGGCTTATCGGCCGAAATTGACTAAAATCTTGCGGGGAAGTTACCTTGGGAAGCAGCATTATCCACGTCGAAGAAACGCTTCTCGGCAACTCATGACCACAAAAGAAACTAATCACTGCTTCACACAAATCATTGCCCACCACCTCCCACGCAAATGTAAAAAAGGTGCCTGTAAATCCATCTGGCCCACCCGCACTCTCCCCATCCATTTTAAACACCACCTCCCTTACCTCCTCGTGAGATGGAAACCGCTCCAAATCAGCATTTTGAACATCGGAAACAACCTTAGGAATTACGTCCAAAATACTCCATGACCCGCCGGCAGTCTCCTCCGAAAGTAAGGATTTGAAGAACTCAACCCCAATAGCAGACACCTGACCTTCATCTGATATCCACTCCCCCTGGTCATTCTTAATTCGGTGTATGATAGACTTTGCTCTTCTCTCCGCCACTATCGAGTGGAAGTACTTAGAATTTTTGTCCCCGTCCTTAAGCCATTTGACTCGTGCCTTTTGCCTCCAAAACCCTTCCTCCCTTGCCAGAGAATTCCTCATTATAGCACGAGCCTCCTGGAGAGCCAACCAATGCGATTGAGAAGGCTCATTTCCAAACGCATCCTCTGCAGCTGCTACCTCGCCCTCCGCTCTCTTCACCGCGTCAAAAATGTTACCAAACTCCACACGAGACCAAACTTGAAGGTCCCGTTTAACATTTCGCAATTTAGCAGATAAACGTTGCAAAGGATGCCCAGAACAAGGGGCTGCCCAACTCCTCCTAATGACATCCAAAAACCCAGGCTTCGTCGTCCAAACATTCAAGAACCGAAAAGGTTTAGGCTTGTTATCCAGCCTCGTCGACGATGACATTAAAAGGGGGGCGTGATCCGAAGGCTCCCTCCCTAGATGTTGAGCCTGAAACTGCGCCCCTGAAAGAACGGCCGTTTGATTGACAAGCATTCTGTCCAGGCGTTTCCAAATGCGAGCCATACCCCCCCTATTATTACACCAAGTGAAAGGGGACCCCGAAAAACCAACATCCGAAACACCCGCCATCGACATGAAAGTTCTAAGCTCCACTCCTTCATCTACTCGAAAAGGCAAGCCGCCCCTCTTTTCCTCCACGCTAACAGTGACATTGAAATCACCCGCCAACATCCAAGGGTGCTCCGCCAGATTTTCCGCTAACAAAGCTGACCAAAGCAAAGATCGCTCCTGCTCATTACACTTTGCGTGGATAAAAGAAAAATAAATTGGACCTGATAGAAGCTGAGAAGTGATTTTAAGCGACAAATGCTGAGAGGATTCTCCCACAAAGGCACAATCAAAAGAGTTTTTAAAGAACACCCAAATAGACCTCTGGCTATTCACCATCCAACTATCCATCCTGAGCCGTGCTCCAAACACATGAATGTCGCATGGTAACGCCTTAGGCTCACAAATAGCCACTAAAGGAATTGAGAACTCATCAATTAACCGTTTTAACCTACGAAAATTTACAATTTTATTTAATAATAAAATTAGGTGTTTTCAACCGTATGATTATCAAATCTTTTAATCTATAAGAAATATAACTTTTTGGTTATTTATATACAAATAATTACTAGTACATAAAATTTTGTACTGAGACCTCACATTTGTTAACTTCTAACTCGTGTGAGTTTTAAAATAAAAAGGATTTATTCCTCTATGATAAATGTCAATGCAAAAACAAAAATGATTGTGTGCTCCTAATTAAAAAAAATTTTGAATATAATTTTTTAGGAATTCGCTTTTATCGGATGTGAGATACAATAAAGCCGAAAGCATACTAGTTCGGTTAAGATTTATTGCCCCAAATTATTATCAAGTATTGATGGCAATATTATGGGATCTTTTTTTTTTTTCCAATTTTGATGAATTTACAGCCTTAGGTAGTAAAATTTGTAGAGATTTTCATTGCAAATTGTAAATCATTTTATAATTTGCAGTGAAATCATAAAGCAAGGGAAGGCCTGCATTGGAACTGAAGCAAAAAGAAAAATCATGGCAAAATCTAGATTCATGTTCTTGAAAATAATTTGAAGATGGTAAATAGTGAATTTTGGCTCCAGTTTCATCACTGGCATGATGAAACATGCACGGCTTCTAACTTATGTCAATTGTTTGAGCAGCCTTTTTATGTAAAATTGCAGCTTGATCATGCTCACTGGACCAGGGGCTTCTTTCGTCACAATGCTCGCTAAATGCGAGCTGAGTTGCCTGGCCGAGAACCTCGCATTTGTCAAATGCGAGGTATAGTCTGTTTTTCTTTTTCTTTTTTTTTTTATTTGGATGCTAGGAAAATTCAGGGAGACCTCGAGCTCGCATTTGCTGAATGCGAAGACCCCCTGGACGGAATCCCATACAAAAAATGCTCCCTTTATAGAATTTTTTTAAAAATCATCATAATTTTAGAAATTTCTCCTGGAACATGGGCTGCTGGGACATTTGTACCAATGGTACGTAAGCTTAGAGTAGAATTGAACAGGAGAGGCTCCATCTCCTTAAATACTGGTACAAGGCGAAAGCTCAGTTACCAGGGCGAATCCACAATTCAGTGAACATAGAGTAGAATAGAATCTGTAATTAGTAGGCCGGTGGGATCTTTTGAAGTGTAGTAGTAATATGGATTCTTTGGCAGAAACAACCAAGAACCAAGTTGTACTAAAAGAAGAAGAAGAAGAGGAGGAGGAGCACTTCTCGTACGCCATGCAGCTAGTTACCTCCGCAGGGCTGCCCATGATGTTGCTTGCTGCCATCCGGCTCAATGTGTTCGAGATCATCGCCAGAGCTGGTCCCGGTGCTCAACTGTCGCCTTCAGAAATTGCGGCTAACGTGTCTTCAGAAAACCCAAATGCCGCTGCTATGCTGGATCGGATGTTGCGGCTCCTGGCAAGCTACTCTGTGCTCACCTGCTCCGTTGCCACCGACGTGGATGGTGATCATGCTATCCAAACGCCAACAAGAGTGTATGGATTGGCGCCGGTGGCCAAGTTCTTTGTACAGAACAAAACAAAGGGAGGAGGTTCACTAAGCTCCCTGCTGGCCTTGCTTCAAGATAAGGTCTTCATTGACGGTGAGATTTTCACTTTTCTTCTATCCTGTTTAATAAAAACAAAAACTCCTATAGTTGAGATTACTCCTTTGTGGAAGCATAGTGCCTGGTCCAAAAGCGATTCACTACCCTAAGAAACTCCATTGAGCCCTCTTCTTTTATTTTAATTTTTAGAAATGAATAGAAATGAACTTGTGGCAGGAATTATTACAGTCATGATTGGCCAAGAAAAAAAAATGCACGGCTGAAATTATGACTTGGGAATCATTTTCAACAATATGTGTGGATCCCACCAAAATATATACTGAACTTACACCGTGTTTAAAATGATTAACATTCTAATCAAATTCATTTACATCTTGTTGAAATACACATAACCGGTAAGGAACTGTTCCAGCCCCTAGTCCATTAAATATTATCAGTGTCTGGAATAAAAAAAAAACAAATCACTCCTTTGCTTCTAACTATGCCTTAACCTACAAGTTGTAATTCTACGATGCACGTAGCCATTTTGTTAGTGATGGTCTTAATTCCTCTGCAAAAGGATTACTTTTAGTGATTTTCTTCTAAAATCGCCAAAACAGGATCACTGGATTTTGATAGAACAACACAAGATAGTGGACTTAAACGACTCAAATCTCTGCTTTGGATGTAACACATAATTCCTTTGTGAAATATCAAATCCATAGACAATTATACTTAAAGTAGCACTGACTACTCAAGCCAACATTAAAGTAGCACTGAATAAATTTTGTTCATAGTTTTCGTTGTGAGTACACGTGTGAACTCTATGGATGCTTTTCTTCCTTGCATGTATTTAAGAACAATTCGGCTTGTAAAAAGGCCTCCATAAAATATGCTTTTGGACCCAAAATTTAGGTACCAATTAGAAGATGCAGTTCGCGAAGGGGGAGATCCGTTTCACAGGGCGCATGGTACACATGCATTTGAATTTCTTGGAAGCGACCCCAGATTCAATGAGGTATTCAACAAGACAATGATCCACCACACAGCTATCGTCATAAACAGAATGCTTGAACGGTACAAAGGTTTTGAGCACCTCAAAACTTTGGTAGATGTTGGTGGTGGTCTTGGAATGAACCTCAATATAATCACAACTAAATACCCTAGCCTCAAGGGTAATAATTTTGATTTGCCACATGTTATACAACATGCACCAGCCTATCCTGGTATAATTTTTGCTCTTCTCCATTTGTTGCTCAGTTATGTTTGCTCTTTTGCTTCATTACCCTTTAATTAACCAATTCAAGATAGCATGTGAGAACAAATAAAGAAACAGATGCAGACACTTCAAAATAATCTCCGTTAAATTGCAAAGCGAATGAGTTAGTTTTGGGGAAGAAAGACACTTACCATCATGAGTTCTATAATTTTTTTTTTTTGGAATTAAAGAAGTTTCAATATGTTGTACGACACACTGTTATACTGAATCACAGGCTTCCACAAACTATTGCTTGAAAAGAAGAATTGTTTATTCCATAATCCACTGCATTAGAATAGGATTTTTTTTTTTAAAATCTGTAATCCATTACCTTCTACCCTTAATAAGGTAAATTTGCAGGAGTTGAACATGTTGGAGGAGACATGTTTGAAAGTGTTCCACAGGGGGATGCCATTTTTATGAAGGTAAGTTCAACTTTGAAGGAAATCTTATTAGAAGTCAGTCAGTCACAACAAATGCTATCTTTGAACAATATTCTGCAGATCTTTTCAATCTAATTATGTACAGTCCTTCTCTTTTGAACCATATTATGCAGATCTTCAGAGTCTAATAAGTTACCCAACTTCTTATTTGAGTTGCATTTATTTTTACCACTTTAATCAATGAACATTTAGTTGTTAGGCAACAGACGCTTTAACTTTAAAGGTTACTTACACACATGGTTCAAAGACTCGGTCGAGTCGTTACCGTCTCGGTCCCTCCTGATACGATACCGGGACGATACGATTTTGAAATACTTGACTCATCGAGACGTCACCGCAAAGGGTTAAAACAGCCGAGTCATCACTCCGAATCATCCCGAGTCAACTTGAATTTTCATTATTTTTACTAATTTTTTAATTATCTTTGTTTATCAAATTTTTTACAATTTTTAGAATATTAAATATTTCAAAAATGCGGATCTCGCCGAGACCGCGACTGATATGTCGAGACCGATGTGGAACTGTCCGGGCCGCGACCGCGACTTTGAACCACGCATACAAATTATATAACACTCTCTCTAACTTTAGCTATACCATATGGAATTTTAAATAATCAGGAAAGTATCTACAGATCAGGTGAATACTTATAGATTAAGGGATAGGATAATGACACATTAGAAATATTAGTAGTTGAGAGTGATCTATAACTCTCAAGATCATAAAGTCTGTCATCGTCTTATGATGCTTTGTAAAAGGAGTGCCTTTTGTCTGGAATACTCACAGACAACATCCATCAATACTTTTGTAATGGATACTTCATGATTGGGATGATGATCATGGCTTGAAGTTGCTGAAAAATTGTTACAAGACTTTACCAGACAATGGAAAGGTAATAGCTGTTGACGCAATTCTTCCTGTGATTCCTGATTATAGTGCACGCGACAAAGCTACTTGCCAAACAGATCTTATAGTGGTGACTAAAGAAGGAATTGAGAGATATGAAACAGAGTTTCTTGCTTACTTGCTTGCTTCTTTAAAAAGCTTTTTGATTGATAAATTGTGTCCTAATTACTCCCTCTGTTCCATTTTGGTAGTATTTTTTTGTACATAGTTTAAGTAAAGCTGCTTAACTTTTAAAAGAATAAATCTAATCTACTATTTTCTTAAAATACCATTAAACCAATATCAGAAGTTTGACTAATCACCATACCTTTCTCTCTTTCTCTCTCAACATCTCTCCCTCTTGCTTATTTTGAATTCTAGGGTTAGCCATGGCTGCCCTTCATCCTTCGGGTGAAGGGCAACCTATGCATCCATTACCATCAAAATATTCCTTCACAGATATAGGGCCTGTTTGACAAATAAATTTTCGGCTAAGTTTGTCTGCTACAAATTTTTTAATAACTTTAGTTATAGTAATTTCAAAAAACTTCTCAAAGTTTTTAAAATATATTTCAAACTATCCAAAATTTACACACTTCAAAAAAAAATTTCACAATTTTTTTTACAGTAAAATTTTAAACAAACAATCGAAAAACTCATTTGCCAAACAGAGCCATAATCTCCTTTTCTTCTCCTACCTTAACGCCAACTCCTTGTCTCAAACCTAGTGAACTTTACAGGGAGGAACCAACATTATCCTTTTCGGGGAAGATGTTCGGCTCCTCGCTGCTCCTTTCAAGTTTGTGCTCTTTGGAAAATTTTCCAAAGGTCGGCCGTCCATGGAAGGGCTCAGAAAAGAATTCTTGGCTCTCGGCTTTAAGGGTCCTATATCCTTAGGACTTCTTGACCCTCAACACATCTTAATCAGATTCGAGTTGGAAGATGATTTCGATAGGTGTTGGCTTCATGGATTCTAGTCTTTTCAAGGATTTGGCATGAGGGTTTTTAAGTGGTCTCCAACCTTTCGCTGGACATGGAATCGTCGATTGTCCCAATCTAGATCCGGTTGTTGTGCCTTCTAGTACATCTTTTTAACAAGGGACCCTTTTTTTCCCTAGCTAAATTGGTCTGTGAACCCTTAAGGCTGGACGCATCGACAACAATGCTTGCTAGGCCGGCAGTGGCAAGGATTTTTGTTGACATGGATCTACCAGGGCCCCTTCCTGAACGTGTTTGGATCTGGAATCTGTCCAATGGTTTTTGGCAGCGAGTTGAGTACGAGAATTTACATGATTATTGTGTGAACTGTAAGAAACTTGGACACCATAGTAGCGCTTGTAGACAATTTAGTAGTTCAAGGAAGCAACCTGATAATAAGGACGGGAATATTGGGGGGGGCGATGGGACAGCAGAAATTTGGATCCCAAAGGATGGTCACAATCACTCAGAGGAACGAAATCACACTTTGTCAGATAGCAACTAGCATCTTCAAATTTGGACAATCAATTGTGGAGGAGCAAACGATGCTGAAGGACTTAGTCCCGGACAATCAGTTGACACTAATGGTACAACATAATAGTCACAACCCTAGCTCGCAACAACCAACGAGTGACCAGCAATCAATGGATTTGAATCATAGCCAGAGCGCTTCCAAAAAATTAGTCTCAGTGGTGCAACGGCAGCACCAGACCAAAACCTTGGAAACTCCAATGGAGCAACCACAGAATAAAGTTGTGCACTGGCAGGTAATTCCATTGGAGCTGGGGCAGAGTGAAGTTTTGCATCAGCAGGCATCAACAGTGTTGTAGTGTGAGACATTGTAGTAGCCATTAGAACCACAAACAAAATCGCTACCACAACTCCCCTTGATAGATCACAACACCTTCGCTAGCTCTATTATAGATTACCAGAAGCTTTATTCTAAATGAAGAGGAAACCTAGACTCACTCTCGGATGTTGAGAGGCAGCAACATCAAAGTAAACCTCGTGAAATGCTGGTGGAGGACTTTATTCAATTCAAGAAAAAAGTAGACCACCTCGTTCCAATACCCCAGAAGAAGATGCAATTAGCCAAACGTGGGCGATGAAGGCGATTTCTAAACTTACCAAAGACTGTTGTAACCAGGCAATTTTCAAAGGTATCCATAGAATCTTCCTCCCAATTTTAATTATGACGAGTATTTTCGTGTGGAATATAAGGGGCATATTTGGTTGTGCCTCTTCGCGTCGTTTAAAGAAGTTAATAAGGTTACATTCAGTGTCGTTTTTAGTAATCTTAGAGCCTATGGTTGAGCCGGAACAATTAGAAGGTTTTACAGCCAAGTTTGGCTTCCATCTTGGTGTTAGTAACTTTTCCAATAAAATATGGGTCATGTGGAAGACAGGTTTTGCAGTAGATGTAGTAATTAATGCAGATCAATTTATTCATTTGGCTGTTGCTCAGGAGTCATGGATTTTGTTTCTTATTGTTCCTTTATATATGCTAAATGTTCACAAATTGAAAAAAGATCTTTATCGTCGGACTTAGTTTCTTTGTCGGGTGGCTTGGTTTCTAAGCCGTGGCTGATAGGTGGTGACTTTAATGTTGCTGCGTCCATTGATGAATACTTGGGCCGAGCACTACAGAACTTGAATGCAATGGTGAAATTTGCTGATTGTATTTCAATCTATGGTCTGAAACATATTACTTTGTCTGAAAGTTGTTACACTTGGACTGGCGTTCGTCATGGTAGGCGAGTGTGGAAGAGATTGGATAAGTTCCTAATAAATCTAGAATGGCAGCGCCTCTTTCTTAACTCAAAAGTACAACACCTTAATCGTGTAACTTCAGATCAAGTCCATTATTGTTGTAACTCCAGCCATGCTTGAGCTTGGGAACGCGATCATTTAGGTTTCAATATATGTGGGTTAATAACCCCAGCTTTCTCACTGTGGTTCGATGCAGTTGGGATCAGCCAGCTTTAGGCTACGGTATGGCGAGGTTTGTCATAAAATTGAAGAGACTTAAGTAGGTTTTGTGTGAATGGAATAAGGTGTCCTTTAGGAACATTTTTGATAACATAGCTAAAGCTCAAGAAGAAGTTAAACAAAAGGAATTACAACTAGAAGAAGAGGAAATAGAAGCAATGCATCTGCAATGGAGTCAGGCAAATGCTGCTCTGCTAAAGCATTTGGCGGCCAAAGAAGTTTCTTGGAAATAGAAAGCCAGAGTAAGGTGGTTAAAAGATGCTGATTCGAACACAAGATATTTTCACTCTGCACTTTTAGATAAGTGAGTTTGGCTTTCTATGTAGAAAATTAAAAGCTTGGAGGAGGTCTACATTGAGGGAGATGACAACATTGGTGCATCGGCTGTGGATTTCTTCAAGTCCTTGTTAGCAGATTCTTCATTGTTAAACAGACAGGCAACCTTGGAGCTATGAAACAATGTTCCTACCCTTGTAACACCTCTACAGAACGACCAACTGATAGAGGAAGTCACTCTAGAGGAAGTTGAAAGGGCAGTGTTTGAATTGGATGGGCAAAGTGTAGCTGACAGCGATGGATTTGCAGGTTGCTTTTATACTCATTGTTGGGAGATCATTGCAGAAGATGTCTTCTGAGCTGTTCGAGAATTCATGTGTGGAGGAGTAAATTCTTAAGTTGTGATGAAAAAATAAAGTTATTCTACAAGAGGTGTAATTTTTGAAGTTAATTCCAAAAGTGTGATCTTCGCATTTGTGAAATGCGAGTTCAGATACTTCGCATTTCACAAATGCGAGGTCAGTCTTTTACGAAAAAAAGAAAAATAAGCTCGCATTCTACTCAGTCTGAGCACAAAGCCAGAGCTCCCAATCGCCATTCAAATCTGTCTCACTCTCTCCATCCAGCTCACTCCTCACTCTCTCCTCTTTTGTTGAGCTTCCATCTTTCTCGTCAGGCGAAATCTTGGTCACAGCTTGGTCGTCGGAATCTCGCGGCCTTCTCGTCGGAAGCTCTTCTCTTTTGTAGAGCTGTAGCCGTTCTCATCAGGCGAAATCTGGGCACAGCTTTCTCGTCGGAAGCGTCGGAAGATCTCGGCCATTGTAGAGCTTGGACCCTTCTTCGGAACCCATCTCTGCTAGGCAGTTGCGCCTCTCTCCCCCCTCCCAATTTGCCACTTTTACAACCACAACAGGACTCCCCAACCAATTTTGTGTCCCATTTGCACTGCACATTTTCTTTTCACTTGGCAAATGGCTTTCAAATTCGTGACTGTGCTCTGTTACTTAGAAACAGCATAAGGGTATGAAATTTTTTTTTCTGATTTTCTTTTATTTTTCTGGGGTTTTTCTTTTCTGAATTGAATTGGCTTTTCTGATTTGGCAATTTATTGGGTGTTGTTGTTGTTTTGGCTTGTTGTATTTGCTTTTCTGATTTGGCAATTTTTCGGTTTGTCTCTTATTCGTGGCCGTTGGTGTAATTTGTTGATGCATTTGGTCTCCTGTTTGAGGACTGTTGCGGCTGCATCCACATACTTTTTCTTTTATTTTGATTAATTTTGCTGGAGGTTAGCAGTTAGCTATTGCTTTCATGTGGAGGCAGCATGGGATTAATGTGGATCAATATTGTACTGCAGAAACATGAAAGAGAAAAAAAGGAAAAGCAGCAATCAATATTGCATTGTAGAAACATGAAAGAGAAAAAAAGAAAAAGCAGCAATCTAAGAACCATAGCTAGTTAATGCCAAGTTCTAAGTAGCTAGCTAGCCTACCAAAAAAATAAAATCTTTAAGAAGCCATGCCGAAGCTGCAAAGAAACTTTGTCCTGGCTTTCTTAGTTTTTAGTCTAAAACACCCTGCCTCAAAGATATTAGTTGTCGCATGTGGTGATTGCAGTATATGTTAGGACTGTTGATATGTGTAAATTGCTTAATTGGTTTATAGGTTTGGACTTAGTTAAAGTTTTCCTTAAGCATTTGGTCTGATAGGCTTCATGAAGTTGCCCAGTTCTTTTTACAGAAATGGAGCAGAGGATCTGCCTAATTGCTGGGCTATCATGCTATTACAATGTCTACACATTTGACTGCTATGTGTTTTATCATAGTCTACGGTATTTGAGTAACTTCTGGTATAATTTCTACTTTTACTGCTACTAGGGACATCTGTACTTGGAAGTACTGGCACCCTCATGCTATCCATGCTAACTTTAGGATCCATCACACTTTCCTGCAAACTCTGATATGTATGTATTAAATGGTAAAAAGGATTCTCTTAAACATGTTCAGGGCTGGGGCTGGAATTCAACTGCATGAACCATGGAAATCAATGCATCTGCTCTTGTTGAATGTGAGTGGGTTATGATATTAAACAACAATGTTCGAGATCATCTCATGCTGGTCTGATAGAGGTATTATTTCATTCTGGAGTAGTTCTACTTGTTTCTCATTTTCATTGACTCAGATGTTGCAATTATTGGTTTTTTTGTGGAGTATGGCTAATTTTGAAAATGGTAGTTCTACTTGTACCATAGTCTTGTGCTACTAATTTTAATTTATTTTTCCAGTTGCAGAGGATGGACACTCGCTTGGCACGTATCGAGGATCATTTAAGCATTACTCCACCTCAGGGTGGAGCTGCAGATGAAGATGACGATTGAAGCTGCACCATTACGATCACTATATTATTTGTGCATGGATTTGCTTGCATTTTGTTCTTAATCTGTGGAATGTTGGATGTTTAACTTGATTTTACTTTTTCTGTTTTTTAATTTACTAAAGACTTGTGCTTTTGCAGTGGTTTGTGATTATTGGCTGACAAGTTGTTGGAAATATTGCTTGGATTAAATGTTGTCTATTTTGGGTTTGCTAACAGGGAGTTTAGTCCACTTTTAAGAGGAGACTCTATCAAAATTTTTTCAAAAAAAATTTATATATATATATTTAATCATAATAAATTACAATAAACAAATAAAATGTTTTTCAAATATCCTAGTGAAATAAATATATGTGGTTTGGGAATTTTTTTCTCATTTAATTTGAAAATGATTATTATGTGATTATAATTTTTATATTTATAGGAAAGTATATCTTTTAATCTATAAGATACATTTATATTTATACATTTATATTAATTATACATTTATAAATATATTTATATTATGTATTATATGTAATATAATATATTTATACATTTACATATTCTTCTATAAATATATAAATATATTTATTTATAAATATTCATAAATGTATTATAAATATAAAAATTATAAATTATAGAAATACGCAAAAATATGTTTTAGAAATACGTGAACAAAATAATCCAAAAAACATCTACAGCAAATTTTTTTATATAGTTTTTCAAAAACAACCCCAAAAACAATTAATCCAAACGGACTTGTATTTGAAAAACAAAATGCTACAGTGCTATTTTTTGAAAAACAACCCCGAAAATAGTTAATCCAACGGGGGCCAATGTCATTTAAGAAATTTAACTTTTCCAATATATAATAGCAAATTTGAGAAATTGATTAATCAATTATTAGTAGTATCAATAACAAAAAAATAAAATACTATTCTTGTTCATTCTTATTTTTAATTTCACTGCAAATAATAATTGCTAACTTTTCTTTTTTATGTGGTATATAATATGTTACTTTTAATATAAGGAATTAAGTAGCTACGAATTCTCAATTAGTTTATAGATACTTAAATTATTGAATTACTAGATTAATACACTTTACAAAAATTGTTGACTTACTACATTAATACACTTTACAACATCAGCTACATATATTTTTTAATAACAAAGAGTTTATGATAAATTATTAAGAATGAATTTAACAAATAAACAAATTAAAAAAGTAATTTAAAAAATATTGAAATTTTTTGATGCAATTTTCTAGGAATTCGTATTTATCGGATGCAAGATACAGTCCAACCAAAAAGCTTGCTAGTTTGGTTACGATTTATTGCCCCAAATTATTATCAACTATTGATGTCAATATTAAGGGATCTTTTTTTTCCCAGTTGTGATGAATTTAGAGCCTTAAGTAGTAAAATTTGTAGAAATTTGCATTGCAAATTGTAAATCATTTTATAATTTGCAGTGAAATAATAAAGCAAGGGAAAATGGCATTACAATTGAAGCAAAAACAAAAATTTTTTAGGCAAAATCTAGAAGCCAATGTTGGAAAGAACCTTAAGATGGTACATAGTGAATACTTGTTCACTAGTTTTATCACTCGCATGATGAAGCACGCACGGCTTGTTACTTATGATTATTGTTTGAGCAATAATCATAAGTGTAAAATTGCAGCTTGCTCGCTCACTGGACAAGGAAGCTTCTTTGGTCATTGCTGGGCGGTTACTTACCTCGCATTTATGAAATGCGAGGTCTGCTTTTGTTTTTTTTTTTTTTTTTGTTTTAATTTCGGTGGTAGAATAATTTAGGGAGACTTCACATTTAGCAAATGCGAGCTCAAAAAACTCGCATTTGCTGAATGCGAAGACCTCAAAAACAGACAACCATACACAAAATACTCCCTTTGTAGAATTTTTTTAAAAATCATCATAATTTTAGAAATTTCTCTGTGTGGAGTTCCACTACCTAAGGGTATTGCAAATACTCTGGTGGTATTAATTCCAAAGAAGGAGGTGCCTACGACATTTGCAGACTTCAGGCCAATTAGTCTTTGTACCTTTATCAATAAGGTCTTCACTAAAATTCTTAGTAATTGAATTAAAATCGTTCTTCCCACTCTCATCTCACTAGAACAATTCAATTTTGTCAGTGGAAGAGAGATCTCAGATAGTATCTTACTTGCACAGGAGATGGTTAACTCAATTGATAAAAAGGTCAGGGGGCACAATGTAATACTCAAGGTTGATATGATAAAGGCATTTGATCGTGTCTCATGGCGTTTTTTGTCCCAATTGTTGGGCTATTTTGGCTTCCATCCTTATTTTTTCTCTCTGGTTATGAATAGCCTCTCTTCCACCTGGTTTTCAATCCTTGTCAACAGGAAGCCATATGGATTTTTCCAAACAAGTCATTGAAACAAAGGGATCACCTTTCTCCTTTTCTTTTTATATGGTGTTAGAGGCGCTTAGTAGAGGCTTGAAGAGCTTAATCTTGATGGGAACGGTGCAACCATATGCTCTTGGCTGTGGCTGCATGCCAGTGTCACACGTAGCATTTACGGATGATGTTGTAATTTTTTCAAGAGGAGACCGTCGTTCGGTTAGCTAGGAAACGACTAATGGCTCGGTAGACGGGTTTCAGTAGATGGATCTCCCCTTTGTTGATTAGGAGCAAGCTTTTCAAAGGTAAAGGTAAGAAAGAACACTTTCAGCAGTTAGTTGAGAAGATGAGACAAAAGTTGGCGGGCTGGAAGAACAAGTTGCGGTCAGCTGGTGGCCAGATAATTTTAATCAAAAATGTTCTGACTGCTATACCATTATATGCTTTTACAGTTTTACAGCCACCTAAGAGTGTGTTGGGCTAGTTGGAGAGGATTATGTCCTCTTTTTCTGGGGGAAGCAGATGGACTGGATAAAAGACATCGGATTAAATGGAGAAATCTGTGCAAGCCAACACAGGAAAATGGTTTGGGGTTGTGCCAACTGGAAGACAGTGTGAACGCTTTTGGGTGCAAACTATGGTGGAAGTTGCGGTCTACTGAAACTTTATTAGCTCGGTTCATTCACTCTAAATATGCTATTGCTGAGAAGGTTTGTCACAGGTCCGAGGTTTGGTGGAAGAAAACTTGCAAGTATTAATAAGGGATGGTAGCTCCTCATTCTGGTACGATAATTGGTTTGGCTCCGGTCCTCTTGCTAGCCAAAAGGTTCAAGTGCCATTGCCAAATGTTCGTGTTCGAGATTTGTTGCAAGATAACGACTGGAACTTAGGCCAAGTAGAGTTGGTTCTCACACATGAAGAAAAAAATGCAGAATTTACGGTCTCATACGTAGCTCTCCCAGGGTAAGAATCTGATGGTCTAGTGTCCATCTGCAAATGGTACGTTTTAGGTATCCTTAGCAATGGAAATGCTTCAGCAACCTTCAAGCTCAATGATATGCAGGAGGATGAGCAGGCGAATGCCATCAAAGGTATCGGTCTTTATGTAGAGACTGATTAATTTCATCCTGCCATTTCCAGATATCCTACAACAATTTGGTTTTAATCTCCCCTCGAAGTTTGCATTCTGTGATAATTAGGACAATTTCGCCCACTGCTTACTTGGATGTCAACTGGCAGTGCAGGTGTGGAAGAGAATAGAGTAGAAATTGGGTATGAAAGTACCACCATCAAAGGATATTATGCTTCATTTGCAGAATTGGTGGATGCACTCTTCGGGGAGGTCAACAATGGCTGAGCTGACGCAGATAGTCCCCTTATTAATCTACTGGGAGCTGTGGAAAGCAAGGAACAAAGCCATTTTTTATGATTATAAAATGATAGTTGGTCAAGTCTTTCATCATGTGCTTGAGTTGTTACATTTTATTTCCTTGGCTCACCTCTTTGTCTTGGAAAATTGCAGTGGAAAGGGTCTTCAGCAGCTGGGGTTGTAGCTTTCCTTCACAGTTTCTAAACCCAAAAATGCTTAACTCTAGTTTGGTCCTTGCCATCACACCCTCATGCAAAACTAAATATAGACGGCTCGTTGCTAGGGAGTCTGGGAGACTTGAGGGAGATAATATCACTCGTTGGCGTCCCTCCCCGTGTGCAAGGAATAACAGTACTATAAAAATTATACTATTCAAACTATGAATCTAAGCAATTAATGAATAAAGTAGATTATACTCATTGATAATAAGTACATTAAATAAAATATTCTTAGAGAAATTAAAATTTAATTAATTTTTAATTGAAAAGTGGGTCCTAGGTTGGGCTCAGGAATGAGCTAATAAACGAGCTCCTTAGTAGCAAACATCATTGGTTCGATGTTTCGGGTGAAACCAATTCACTAATAAAAAGCATTTTCTAAGTGAAGATCTGCACGAATTGAAGTGAGACTATATTTTAAAATGAATGAAAAACAGACTATTAAAATGGGACGAATAGATTACTTTGTATTGATATTAATAAATGAATGGTGTAATAAAAGATTCCATGAATTTTGTTCCAAATTTATAAATTTTGTTCCACATATTTCTATTTATATTAAAAGAAAAATAAAATGGCCTCTTGATTAGACCTTGACATAATTGATATGTACTAACTGACGTAAACAATTGCTATAATAACAAAACTCTGTTAGAATATTAAACAGAGTTAGTTATAGTGAGTTATAATTTGTTTAAAAGGTTGTACACTATTCAAGCTCTCCCTTATCAATAGCCATTCCGCATTTGTTCTTGGCCATTCTTAATACCTTTTTTTTCAAAAAAAAAAAATTTATGGAGGAGGAGAGCGGGATAGTAAAACGTCTCTGCAACTGTGTTTTAAAACTTGTACTAAATAGTCCAGTCTGACTAGTTGAACCAAAAACTAGCTAGGCTTCCTATTCGTGTCTCTTTTAAAAATTGCACCTCAAAAACTCTGTAAATCCCAATTTTACTAATCTTGTCATTTTTTCTATATTTTTTTCATTACTAATTTCTTTTTTTTTCTTGTATTTTCTTCATCTCTAAAGCCTAATTTCATCTCTCCAACAATCAGGTGATAACATATGCAAAATCACGAGGGAAAAGTTTCAAGAAAATAGCAAGAAAGAAAATGGGAAAATAGATTTATAAATCTATGCATTGCTATCTTTTTTTTTTTTTGGCAAGAGAAAGTTGCTTTTATTGATATGTACAATATAACCTTACAAAGGGATAAACCTCCTACATCAACAAAAC